CTTTCCTTTCCCTAAATGTCCAAATGTGACAGAGCCATGACCAGGCTGGGCCGCGACCCTGTCTGCTTCCTCTCCTGAGGGCCGGAGGATAGCGATGGCGGTTCTCAGCGACGCTTCTTGGAAGAAGCAGAAGAGAAGGGATCTGGCTCGTGGCTGCTGTCAGAAGGTGGCTCCCCCGTTCTGGGGCCTCATCGCACAGGGCGCGTCAGGCACCTCTGCCTCCCACTCTGGGAGGGTCGGTGAAGTCCCCGGAGTCCAGGGGTGTGGACGGAATGGGCTGCTTAATTGGATCTGGGTAGGGGTCCCCCAGCACCAGCTCTGGCTGTGAGCTCCGAGCCGGGCCCCAGCCCCGCGCCTCCCAGGGAGCCCAGAGGATCCGCAGTTGTGGCCGCAGGCACCGGGGGCAGCACAGACGCGTCCTGGGCACAGGAATCCAGGCCCACCGGCCCACCTGCCCACACGGACCCCAGTCCCTTCCCCAGCCAGAGTCCCCTGCCCCGCAAATGCAGGACAAAGCAAAATGGGGGTCTCTCCCTTCCACTCCCCTGGGAGACGTTTCTGAGATGTGAGCTGGACACCAATCCTTCCTCAAATCCTGACCCTCTATTTGCTGGGAACTGGGCAGGGCCTGGGTTTAAGCAAGGAACGAACAGGCTCACGGCCTTACAGACGACACCCGAGCATTAACTGAGCATCTGCCCCACGTAGCTGCCCCGCACCAGGCCCGCGAGAGCCCCACCAGCCAGGCCTGGAGTGCACCCCCTCGGGGGGCGGGACCCCGGGCTCCTGGCAGAGCCAATGCTTCTGCATTCCTTTACTCCTGTCTTTGCCCTGGAAGGGGTGTGTCTGTGGTGTGAGCACCTGCTGAGCTGGGTGGGAACTTACTAAAAATGACATTTAAGGAAAAACAACTTTAGTGAAATATAAATGACATGCGTGTAATTCACCCATCTGAGGTGAACAGCTTAGTGGGCAGGTTGGGATGTTTCAAAGAGCATACAAAACAGCCCCTCCTTGTTGACAGCGCGCATCAATGTTTAAGTGACACAAACAAGCAGAATTTGAAATGAAAGGGAGAGAAACCCCCAAGAATCGGAATCAGATATTAAAGCATTATAGAACATCAAACACACCCAGGGAGCTCTGGGCTGTCACTCGAGTCCCCGTAGTAATTAAGCATCACCTGTCAGGCTGGTGGGCTGGGGAGCAGAGATGAAGGGGGAGATGCAGCCTGGGGGTTGCGGGGAGGGGTACAGGCAGACAGGAAGCCAGGCCCTCGGAGCCGCCGCAGAACCTCTGGGGACAAAGGTTCGGCCCTCCGCGGGGACCTCTCTGAAGGGGAGACCACTGCCCGAGACAGAAGCCCAGCTGGGAGGCTTTCCAAGCCCACCTCCTCCTATGAGCCAGGGCCGGGAGGAGGAACCGGCGGATTTTCAGGGTGGAAGGAGGATCCACATCTCCAGCACCTCCATCTGGAGCAAAAGCCAGTAGCCAGAGGATGCTTTTACGACAAAGACAGGTCACACACTCCCTCCGAGACAGGAGGGCTGAGGTCCAGGCCCCGCCCTCTGGCCACGTCCGACTCCTCCTCCTTGTCTGACAGGCTCCTTGCAGCTCCACACAGGCACCAGGCCCATTGCTGCCGCAGCACCTTTGCACGGCAGCTCCACCTTCCCAGACATCCCCACGGCTCCCCCTCAGTCTCGGATCAAGCGTCTCCTCCTCCGTGAGGCCCAGCCTGACGGCCTCGGGGAAATGGCAGCCCACACCCCGCTCTGGCACCCCTGCTCCCTGACCATAACTGTTTCCAAGGTGCCCGACAGCTTCCAACCATGGTGTCATCAGTAGCTGTGCCGTCTGTTGCCGGGATGTGAGTGCCCTAAAGGCGGGGATCTCGTTTGCTCCCCTGCAACAGTGCCTGCGCAGAGCCGGTGCTCAGTAGCGTTTGTAAGACAATGAGTGGGGCCCAGGAGGCAGTGGCTATCGCTGCCCGCTGGCCAGGACTCTGGAGAGGCAGCTGCAGGGGGACAGGCTGGCATTGGTGGCTCTCCCAGTGGGGCGGCGGCACCGCACACCCCACCGGCCGGCCAGCTGGCCTGAGTCCCGCCCATGCAGGAAGTAGATGTGGCAGCTCCCCAGGAGGGATATGGCACAAATATCAGATGCCAGTTCCTGAAGTGCCACCAGAGGACGGAGCAAGACCCATTGAAAAGGTGGAAATTACCCCACGTCCTTCCCCAGGGAACCGTGGGGGAGTCAACACTACAACAGTTGAACCTACAAGGCACAGGTGTGAACTGACCCAGAAATTAGCCCAGATACAAGTGAGCAAACTGCACGTTGGGGTGCGGTTTCATCCTGGGGTGGAGGCCCAGGGGAACCAGAAATACCTGGATCCAGTGGCTGGAGCAGGACCCTCCCCCTCCCCCTCCCCCAGAGGTTCCTCCACCTGAGCAGCCAGGTTAGGCCTGGCGGCGCCTGGGGGGGCCACGTTCTCACAGGTTGTGGCCATGTTGCCAGAGCCCCCAGGCAAGGGGACCTTTCACAGGACACCTCCCCTGGGGGTGGGGTGGGGTCTTCTGAGACAGCAGGTCCCAGCCCAACCTTCCCACAATTCCCCACCTCCAATTTGGGGAGGACCCCCCCTCAGGGGGCTGGTGGGATGCTACATGAGTTTGCAGGACTCTGGGGCATCTGCTGAAATCTGGAGCCTCACCCCATCGAATGACAGTGTGTGGGCACACATGTGGGCGTGTGCAAGCGTGACCATGTACACACAGACACTCAATCACTTCTAAAGTGCTGTCCCATGAAGTGAGTTCCAAACCTGGTCCTGGAGTTGGGTTTGAACCCGGGCTCTGGCACGTACAAGCAGTTTGACCTTGGGAGAGTTATGGCGAACCCCTGCCTCAGTGTTCTCAGCTGTAAGTGGGACCCATACGGGGACCCACCTCATAAGGCGAGGTGAGGATGGATCAGTTCTGTGCAGAGGCCCGAGGACGCTCCTGGACACAGTGTGCTCGACTGCCATCACCCTGGTCGGTCCAGGACCCTTTGTGTCCCTTGTGGACTGAGGCTGGGGGTCGGTGGTCCCTGAAGGACCAGTCATGCTGGGGGGCACTTTGAGGCACTTCCTCCCCATGCCAGCTCCTGGGGGCACAAAGATGAGCTGGAGAGCAATTTCTCTGAATGATAGTTTGCACTTAGATTTCTTTTAATCGGCAGCACATTAGCCAGGCACATGCAATAACTGTTTGATGAATGTTATATGTATAATCCATTTTATTCTCAGCTGGCTGCCACGGTAATTACATTCTGTGGTGTTTAATTCAGAACTTGATCATTTATTCCAAGTCATGTTGGGTTGGACCATAGGCTCGAGGGAGGTGCCACTGAAGGAGCCTGGCCTCCACCCTGGCCATGCAGGGAAGAGGCGAGGCCTCCAATGTCCCCCTGGCTTTCGTGGAGGCTCCCAGGGGGCAGCTTGACTCTGGGCCAGGACGGGGCTGGCAGAGAGTGGTG